AGGAAGAGACAGGAAAACTGGAAAAATGGAAACAGGGAACCCGGAGTGGAGAAGGGGAGAGTGTTGACACATCGCGGGGTTGGCAGCCAATGTCACAAAACAATTTGTGTGTTAACTGTTTAATGAGAAACTAATTTGCTCTGTAAACTTTCACCTAAAGCACACACACACACACACACACACACACACACACACACACAAAAAAAAAAAAAAAATACTGGGGACAGGTGGATAGCTATTAAAAATCGGTAGCATCAGCAATGCTCACCACAAATTAAGAACCAGTGCTCTAGATTAAAGACACAAAGCTATTACATTTAAGCATAAAATTTAGTTGTGAGAGTCCTGCTAGTCAAGGCTAAAATAAAAATTCCTTGAGTCAAATGTTTATTACTATTAACTAATAATAGAAAAAGGAGCCTCAGTGGTGCAAAGGTTAAGTGCTTGGCTGCTAACTGAAAGGTTGGGAGTTTGAACCCACCCAGTGGCTCAGTGGTAGAAAGACCTGGCCATCTGCTTCTGTAAAGATTACAGCCTAGAAAACCCTATGGGGCAGTTCTGCTCTCACATGGGGTTGCTATGAGTTACAATCGACTTGATGGTACCCAGCAACAACAGTAGAAAACATGCCACTTTATAGAAAGAAGCAAATTATCTCTGCTCCCCCACCTCTGAAAAGAATTTATTAGTTGAGTACTTTGCCTCTTTTTTTGAGTCTATTTATCTCGTTAGTTTACTCTGTTTGTATTTATTGCTATAACATATGGTTAGTCTTTAATTCTGTTATTTTATGTTCATTTTCAGTTTCAAATGGTTTATTTTCTGTCTTTTGTTATATCAGTTGATTTATTTTGCATGTATTTCCTTCTGAAGTTTGGAATGTTTATTTCACTTTCTAGTTCTTATAGTGATTATAATTCTCCAATATCCTTAATCTTGTATTTCTTGATTTAGCAAATTTAGATTTTTATGTGCTGTGAAAGATGAGAAAATTATATACTTTATGCTTCTTCTGACCTGTTATTAGCTTTATTTTGTCAAGTTTTATAACATTTATGTACTAACCATACTTCCCACCGTTCTATGTGTGTGTGAATTCATTGCTCACTTCTTGTCCTTTTGCAATGGCTTCTTCATTCCCCTCTGGGTTTGATGGTCAAATAGTTTGTTCAAGAAAGACATTCCCTGTGTTTCTGCATCCTTGAGAATTTCTGTCTTTTCCATCTGGACATGAATGGTGACTTGGTGTGAGTAAGAGTCTTGGGTCACATTTTCTTTCCCTTAGGACTTTATAGGCATTGCTTCTGTATTACCTATTTCTGTGGAGAACCCTGAGGCTAGCCTGATTTACTCCACTTTTTGGTAAATTGCTTACTTTTTCAGCCTGGACTGGGTGATTAAGAAGGAGCGCTGGTGTCACAGGGGTTAAAGTGATGGACTGCTAACCGAAAGGTCGGCGTTCAAAACCACCAGTGGCTCTGTGGGAGAAAGATGTGGCTGTCTGCTTCTGTAGAGATTTACAGCCTTGGAAACCTTATGGGGTCACTGTGAGTTGGAATCAACTTGAAGTCCTCGGATTTTGTTTGGGTTTGGGGTAATTAAGGAGAGGGAGGCTGTGACATTGGTTCTAGGACATTTCTACTCCTTTCCCTGGCTGTGAATTTTCACACTGCAACTTTAGGTTTTCTGTTTTGGCTGCTGAGTGTCTTTTGTTATACATATAAAGCCAAAAATATGGTTTTTTAATTTTTTTAGCTGAGTTTAACTCATTTTTTGATACATTTAATTTTGCTTTAGGCCATTAATCTTGTTCTCTGTTTTAGCTTACCTTCGATAAGAGTTGTATGGTAGACAATTCAAAATTAAGATTTTATTTAATAGGAAAAAACATGTAGAATGATAGTCTTTTGCTCATTTTTTCTATTGGGCTGTCTCTTTTTCCTTAATATATAGGGGTTCTTCGTTTGTTCTGTACATGAGTTCTTTGTTAGATATATGTGTTGTGACAATCTCCACTCTGTAGGTTGCCTTTTCACTGTCTAAATGGTGTCTTTGTATGAACAGAAGCTCTTACTGTCATATATTTTAATTCTATATACATCTAAACCCCATAAGTTATTACTGTTTTAACAATGAGTTCTTATCTAGATTTACCCACATATTTACCTGAGTCATTGCTCTTCTTTCCTTCCTGGATCTCTAAGTTTCTATCTGTGATCCTTCTGCCTTAAGAACACCCTTTATCATCATTTTATTTAGTGTGAATATGCTGGTGATGAATCCTCTCAATATTCGTTTGTTTGAAAATGTTTTTATTTCCCTTTTATTCTTGAGGCATATTTTGACTGAGTATACAATCTTGGGAGCCCTGGTGGCACAGTGGTTAAGAGCTCAGCTGCTAATTAAAAGGTTGACAGTTCAAATGCACCAGCTGTTCCTTGGAAACCCTATGAGGCAGTTCTACTCTGTCCTGTAGGGTCACTATGAGTCGGAAGCGACTTGATGGCAATGGGTTTTTTATCAATCTTGGATTGCTCGTAATTTTCTCTTAGCACTTTGAAGATACTATTTCGTTTGAAGATACAATGGCTTCCATTGTTTTTACAGAGACGTCAGCTGTCAGTCTAATTATCACCCTTCAAAGTATTTTGCTTTTATTTTTCTGATGGATTTTAAGATTTTTCTCTCGTGGCTTTTTTTACTGCTTTACTATGGTGTTTTCCTTTTATTTATCCTGCTTGAGGTACATTAAAAAAAAAAAAAAAAAAACCCTTGCCATTGAGTCGATTCCGACTGATAAGTGACCCTATAGGATAGGGTAGAACTGCCCCATAGAGTTTCCAAGGAGCTCCTGGTGGATTCAAACTGCCGACCTTTTGGTTAGCAGACGTAGCTCTTAACCGCTATGCCACCAGGTTTTCTTAAATCTATGTCTTGGTTTTATCGGTTTTGGGGAATTCTTAGTCAGTCTCTCGTCAGATATTGCTTTTGCCCCAATCTCTCCCTTCCCTGCTTCAGAGAATCCTTGTGTCTTCTTGTCTCTTACTTTCTTTTCTTCCTTTTTTGCTCTCAGGGCTTCATTCTTGATATTTTCTTCAGACCTAGTTTATAGTTCATTGATTTTCTCTTTAGCTTTGTCTAATTTTCTGTTAAAGCCTCTCTTGGGTTTTTAATTTTGACTCATATTTTTAAATTCTAGATTTTCCATTTTTAAAAATAGTTTTCAGTTCTCTGCCAAAATTCTTAATCTTTTAGTTACTTAAACATACAGGTATTTTAAAGTCTCTCCAACTAACTCCATTATTTGGATCTATTGTTTGTTTCTCTTCATTTTCGTTTATGTTAATTTGTCTCTATGTGCTTGGTATAGAAGTCCTGGTGGTGCAGTGGTTAAGCGCTCGGCTACTCACCGAAAGTTTGGCGGTTTGAACCCACCAAGCCGCTCCGTGAAAGATGTGGCAGTCTGCTTCCATAAAGATTACAGCCTTGGAAATGCTATGGGGCCGTTCTACTCTGTCCTTTAGGGTTGTTATGAGTCAGAATTGACTCAAAGGCAATGGATTTGGTTTGGTTTTATGTGCTTGGTTATTTTTTTCTTTGAAATTTTTTTCTTTGTGTATAAAAAACTTCGAAAATTTTGAGGCACAGAAAGAAGATATCTTCCTCTAGAGAGGATCTGTGTTTGCTCTGTCAGGCAGCTAGGAGCACTAGCAATCTGGGTTATCAAAATCCAGTTTCAGGGATTGAGATGTCATGAACCTAGAGTTGAGTTCCTATCACGGCTGGTCTTCTTTTGGTTCACTCTTATCTTTAGGATGTAGCCTTTTAGGGTCTCATATCAAAGCGTGGGGATTTTACCTGACTCTATTGCTTCCTTTTGTCCTCTAGTTCCTCATGACCAACAGAGGCACTGCCTAGCTTCTTGTCCTCTCTGCTCTTCCCATATTGGCAAAGGCAGCCCCTGGGAAACTGGTTGCAAGTACTGACCTTCTTCTCTGAGTTTCTTCTGGAGATGGGCTCCATGTTCCCCACTGCATTGTTGGCTTTCTGATACCCACAGACAGATTTAAAAATTATATGTACGTGTGTGTATAAATACATATAAATATATAGTCTAGTTGTCTTTAGCAGGAGGGTTTGTGTGAACTCCTTAATCTGTTCTGGAAATAGAAGTCTTAACTTGTGTTCTTAATGTGGCACCTTTAGAATGTGTAGTTTTAGGGGAGATGTACAGTAGTTGTTCTGCCTGGCTGCAGCTGCTGTAGAGTCCTACATAATTAGAACTTGACCACTCATTACACATTAACATTCTTCTAGTTTTCTTAGTCATCATTCAGTCGAGTTGTTAGCTTTTATTGATTTTGCCTCCAGTCTGTCCACACCCCTCCACTGCCACCATTCAGAGCATTATTAGCTCTTTCTAGACTACTCTGTTAGCCTCCTAGGGTCCCCTGCACTCTGGGCTGACCCTTTGTGAACTATAATAACTCCATACTCAAGCATGAAATCTGCATCAATTCCCTACTCATAATTGGTGACTCCCATTGTATATAGGACAAAGCACAATTCCTTTGTAATCAGGGACTCTAGTTAGGTACCAGCTCATCCCCATTCTACCTTCCTCTCACACACAGTTAATGCTCTAGACATACCTAGCCACTTACATTTCCCTGAACCTTTACAAATACTTTCTTACTCCCCTAGTGTGAGAGCATTTTACACTGTTATCCTTCATTTACTGAATGTCTGCCCTGCTGTATTCTGAGCTTCTTATGGAAAAGAATGGTGTTCTCTTCATCCTTGTAAGGGCCTGGTTCTACGCATGCTTTGAACCATTGGTTGAACCTTTTTAAGGTCATATTAGCCATCTGGGTCGTGAGGAATTTTCCTGTATCTTGGAAGTCAGCATTATGTGTAATTTAAAGAAAATGTAAGCACAGTGTGTTGTGCATTTCTCTTTTCCATAAGAACCTATTTTTGCCTTTTATTTTAATTTTCAGCAAGTTTGTCAAAGATGAAAGTTACCTTATCAGCTTTGGATACTTACGAGACTTCTTTCACACCTTTGGTAGTCATTGAGCTTGCTCAGGATGTCAAAGAAGAAACCAAAGAATGGTTGAAAAACAGAATTATTGCTAAAAAGAAAGATGGAGGTGAGTACAATAAATATTACTCAGACTTAGTCATGCTCAATGACTAAATATGTATTTGGAAATGTGTTTTACAATTTTCTCATTGATGTATTTTATTTATTAATGTCCATTTCTTTGTTCTTTATTATATAGGCAGGACTTGAAAGGAGTTATTAAAGCAGGATTAGACTCTGTAAGTCCCCATTAGGCTGTAAGCAGCATAAGTAGCTTTGTTCATAGTGCTGAACTTTGTGCCTAGTACAGTATTTGATACATAGTACTTGCTAAATAAATATTTGTCAAATGAATGAACAAGTATCTATTGAGTGTTCTTTGCCTAGTGCTACCAAACCCAACCCATTGCTGTCGAGTCTGACTCATAAATATGGTCTTTGCTAGGATGTTACCATCAGTCTTGTTGTTAGCTGCTGTCGAGGTTGCCCTGGACTCATGGTGACCCCATGCACAGTGGAACAAAATGCTGCCCAGTCCTGCGCCATCCCCATGATCAGTTGTGGCTCGAACCGTTGTGATCCATAGGGTTTTCATTGGCTGGTTTTCTGAAGTAGATCACCAGGCCTTTTTTCATAGTCTGTCTTAGTCTGGAAGCTTTGCTGAAACTTGTTCAGCATCGTAGCAACATGAAAGCCTCCACTGACAGATGGGTGGTGGCTGTGCATGAGGTACATTGGTTGGGAATCAAACCTGGGCCTCCCACATGGAAGATGAGAATTCTTCCCCTGAACCACCAATGCCCTTACTATCAGGGTAGGGAGACTAAATGCCAGTTCCTGGAAATTTAAGTAATTAAAAAAAAAGTTAATGGAAGAGCTATCACAAAGCAGTGTATGATGCTTACAAATGAATCATATGTAACTTTCTGTAAAAGTCAAGGGGAGAGTCAGATGACACTTTGGTGATGCTTTTTGGGTTGATAAGGGATGACTTTATAAAAGAAGCCAAAGTTTAACCCTTTTTTGAAGGTTGTCAAAATCTGAGAAGAAGGTGGAGGACATTTTACAGAAGCAGACACTTCATAAACTACACAAAACAATACCTTAAACTTTACTAAGCCACTAAATGCTGGACCAAACTGAAACAGACTCTTTTAAAAAAATATTTCGACTGAAAACTGAAATGGTTTCTTAAAAATAAAATTTTGAAGAAAAGTGGAATCTTTAAACTTTTTCAAACAATTGAACAGAAAAGGAAACTTAATAACAAGAGTATCTACTTGTTGAAATCTGAGGTATTGCACCAGACTCAAGTCCCTTCTTTAAAATTCTTGTGAAGTGAGAATGTTTTAGTGTGTTAGAGTGAGAGACTCCAGTATATTCTCAGCCATCTTTTCTGTTGATTGTGTGCCTTCAGCACAGACAGGATGGGGTGGAGAGGCTAATGTCTTACACTGCTTGGAAGATCATAAAAGAACTTTCCAAAAAAGTGTTCTGAATCTTCTAGGTAAAGATAGTGAATTTAACACTTACGTGTACTTCTACTCTTTTCCAAACCCCTATTAAAATGATAAAGGATTAAAAAAAAAAAGGGCATAAGCCCACATTGACAGAAGGAAGATACAATAGCAACAAAATTTTGGAAGCTAGAAAACAGATGAGTAGTAATTGACTTCTCAGACCTGAGAAAGCCACATCTTGAGCTGGCAGGGGGGAAAGTTGAGATGCACTTTGGTTTACACTGCAGAATTCTCCCAAAGACTTGGAAATTGGTGACACTGGGAGCTTATGGAGGTGGGAAAAAAGTGGTACCAAGAAAAACAGAGGATTGGCTGAGATTTATTTAAGAAATAGTTAAGATCCTTGGATCCCTTCTGTATTCCACTGCCCTAACAGAAGACTCAAAGTTTTTTCTTTGGAAATGATCGGTTGCATGATTTTGTGACATGGAGGCTCTATGCACAGAATATCGTTAGCACTCCACCACCCCCACTCCACCATTCTATCCCTAATTCAGCTTTCTAATGCCAACAGTCAAACTCAAACCATCTAGGAAGGAGATTGAACAGTCTTTCTCTGGGAAATCTGACCAGCTCAAGACGAAATACAGGTGCAGAAATCAGGAGGTTGTCCATTAAAGGCCACCTTTGACCAACTACATCTAAGCCCTTAGAACTTCTGTTTAGCCTTTTAGAGCCCTGTCTTAAACATGAGTAAACAAATGAAAGATCACCAAACATCTGGGGAAAATCTAACATGAAAGAGAAAGCTAATACTAAACAAGCAAGCAAACAGGTAAGAGCAACCGACTATGTAGAAAAAGAACACCAAAAGAAAATTAAAAATCTCTATTTTTGGAGTTAAGAGAAGATAATAACATCTGTGAATTAAGAGTAGGATATTATAAAAATAATCATTTCGGAAACATGAAAGCAAAATTTAAAAACTCAGTTTGAGGGTTAGAAGATAATGTTGACAAAATCTCCCAGAAAGGTGACTGAAAAGTTATAGAATTGGAAAATATGAGAGAAAAAAATAAGGAAATTAAAGGATTAGTCCAGGAGGTATGTATCTGAGTGAAAGGAGTTCTGGAAAAATAACAGAGAAAAATGAGAGGAAGAAATCATCAAAGAAAAAGTCATGCCATGTTTTTCCAGACTGAAAGGGCCCATGCGGGGCCCAGCATTGTGGATGAAAATGACATATCATTAGAAAGTTTCAGAACCCTGGGGACAGAAGATACTACCTACTTCCAGAAAAAAGAAAACAGGTCAGATATTAAAGATCACACTTCTTAACAGAAAACATTGAAGCTAGGAAGCAGTGGCATAATATCTTCAGGATTTTCTGAAGGACAATGATTTTCAATCTAGAATTTTGTACCCCGGCAGACTGTCAGCAAGGTTCACGTGAGGGTAGAGTGAAGAGAGATTTCTCTAAGAAAATGATATTGATGGGATATCTCTCATGTCAGTGTATCCAAGGGAGATTTAGACAGTTGGCAGGGAACTTGGGGGGGGGGGTGTTGAATTATCAATAACTACATAATAAACTAAGCAAGTGATAAAACGAGACAGTCATGGGAAGTTCAGGAAAGGAAAATTATAGTATGCTGTAAGGATCAGCTATAAATAACATGTATCTAGTCTTAATAATATAAATACTAATAATGAAACTAAGACTAGGAAGAAATGTCTGGTGATCTACTTCCAAAAATTACTATGAAAACCTTATGGATAGCAACAGAACATTGTCCAATATAGTGCTGGAAGATGAGGTTGGGAGGCACTCAGAGTATGACATATTTGGTAAAGTAGAAGGTCAGCAAAAACAAGGGAAACCTTCAGTGAAATGGATTGACACAATAGCCACAACAATGGACTCAAACATATCAAAGATCTTGAGAATGATCCAGGACTGGACAACATTTCATTCTGTTTTACATGGGTCGCCATGATTTAGGAGACAGCAACTAACAACAACAATGAAAACTATATTGTGAGAATGGAATGATGGGAATGCTACATAGAAATGGTGAGGATGGGGAGAAAAGAGAGCTAAATCCTCATCTTTTAAGACTTAGAACTGAGAAATCTAGAAATAGCTCTTTAAGCATCTTATTTAGTGACATGAATGCAAGTAACAGAGCAATCACCTGAACAATTTGAAAGTGGTTTCCACTGGGGAAGGTGAATTGTGGGGAGAGAGAAGATGGGCACTGCTCTTTTTCAAAACAAGATTTTGACAAATGGTTTTTCATAAAGGTTATACCAATTTATACTCCTATAGCAATATCTGAGAGTACCATTCCCACATTCTCACTGCATCAGTTTGGGTTTTCCAAGCAAGATTGGGTTTTCCGGGATGGGATTTGATGCATAAGAGATTTATTGAGGGAAACATAGGTGGAAAGATAAAGGGGGAGGGAGCAGGAGTAGGTAGGAAGAGCCTTCAGACTGTGGAGCTGGTCTGACACCTGTGAAAGGAGAGAGGGAAGGAAGGAGGTTGAGTAGGAAGAGCCTCAGACCACAGCATAGTTCTGAGAAAGTGATGGTCAGGCCCAAACGTTGCCATTAAAGGAAACCCATGTTGAGCTGAAGTGGCCTTTATCCAATGTCCCCTCTCTTCCCAGCCAACGACTAGGAGCAGTTGGGAGAAGTGTGGCAGGAGTGTGCAGCAGGTAAAAAGGTGCAGCATCAGGAGACTGTCAGTCAGCTCTGCTCCTTGCAGCTGATTCTCTTGAAGGGAGAGTTGAGTGGAGTGGGGCACCTCTACGGCTGCCACAGTCATCAGCCTAGTTTGTTATCAACCTTCTGATCTATGCAGTGTGAGAAGTAAAAAATAGTATATTAGTGTAATTTTAATTTGCATTATCCTAATCTGAGTGAGGTTAAGGATCTTACATTTAAGAACCATTTGTATTTTCTGTGAATTGAACATATCTTTTGTCTACTTTTTATTAGTTTTTATACTATACTATAAATTTCCTAAATATTAGTGTCATAATATGTTAATTTTAATATATTAATCTACTTGGTAAGTGTAATATAAGTTCTGCTCATTATGCTGTCACCGTCTAGTTAGTATATTCATAATTCCTGTCCACTCTTTCTAAAGAGTAAATAGTAAAGAAATAAATGTACCTTTAAAAGCTGAATGTAGGTAGATATAAAAAATTAGGAAAAAATATCATTTTTCTCCATAATCTTTTAAATAATAATTACACATACAATATCAAATCATAACATCTTTGATTAATTTTTTGGAAGCCTGTTTAAGAAAAATATCATTAGACCTAATTGAATGTAGAAATTTACAAGAAAAAAAATCATTGAAAAATTGCATTGCTTTTTATTATTTAATATTAATGTTTCCAAGTTTGTTATGTCTAATATTTATTACATTTGTGTTTTTTTTCCACTGGAAATTTTATTTCAAATTAATTTTATTAAATTGTAGTTTGTTTGTTTTGTATTAAGAAACTGTATCCTTTTGTTGCATATTTTCGGTCAGTACAATTTTATACCTGGAGCTAATGAACGTTGGATTATTATCTCAGATCTACTTCTGATTTGAGTAACTGGAAAGCCACTTATTACTACATTTTCTGGTTTTTCATTTATTAAAAAAAACTATAAAAGTCAACAATAAAAAGATGACCATCCCAATTAAAAAATGGGTGAAGGACTTGAGTAGACATTTCTCCAAAGAAGATATGCAAATGGTCAGTAAGCATATGAAAAGATGTGCAATGCCATTAGTCATTAGGAAAATACAAGTCAAAACCACAGTGGGAAACCACTTCACCCCCACAAGGGTGGCTATTATCAGAAAAATGGAAAATAGCAAGTGTTGGCAAGAATGTGGAGAAATTAGAACCCTCGAGTGTTGCTGGTGAGAATGTAAATGGTGCAGCTGCTGTGGAAATCAGTTTGTTCCTCAAAACATTAAACATAGAACTACCAGATGACCCAGCCATTCCACTCTTAAGTGTATATCCAAAGAACTGAAAGCAGTGACTCAGACAGGCACATGTTCACCAATGTTCATTGCAGTATTATTCCCAGTAGCCAAAATGTGGAAACAATCGAAGTGTCCATCAATGGAAGAATGGATAAACAAAATGTGGTATATAATACAATGGAATGTTATTCAGCCATAAAGAGAAATGAAGCTCTTATACATGTTGTGACGTGGATGAACCTTGAAAGCATTATTCTAAGTGAAATAAGTCAGATACAAAAGGACAAATATTGTATGATGCCACTTACATGAAATACCTAGAACAGACAAATGCATAGAGAAAGCTTATTAGTAGTTCCCAAGGGCTTGGGGATGTGGGAAATGGAGAGTTATTGCTTAAGGGGTACCGAGTATCTGTTTGGAGTGAAGAAAAACTTGGAAATAGATAGTGGTGATGGTTGCACAGGCTAGTGAATGTAATTTATGTCACAGAATTGTACACTTAAGGCAAATGTTTTGTTTATACATTTTGCCACCATAAAATTAAAAAATAAAGCTATAATGAACTGCCATTCCCCAACTTACTTTGACTCTTATTTATTTGGAAGATTTAAGTTGTTAACATAATTTTGTTTCTTTCTACTAAAGTAGTAACATTAGAAAGTTTTTCTTTTTTTAAGCTTTTATGTTTTTCTAAGATTGTGCTTATCTTTTCTTTAAAGGTGCCCAGCTGTTGTTTAGACCCTTGTTAAATAAATATGAGAAAGAAACGTTAGAAAATCAAAACTTATATCTTGTTGGCGCTTCCAATATTAGATTGCTGCTAGGGGCAGAAGCATTGGGCTTGGTAAAAGAGTGCAACGATAACACCATGAGGGCCTTCACATATGGAAGCCGACAGAACTTCAAAGGTTTTGATGGTAAGTCCCTCAATTCTTTGTTTCTGTCTGAATCAGTTTATCAGAAAATAAGTTTTTGATAAATAGATCAGGAGTCAGCAAACTTTTTCAGTAAAGAGCCATGCATTAAATATTTTAGGCACTGCTGGCTGTATGGTTTCTGTTGCAACTACTCAACATTGCCATTGTAGAACAAAAGCTGCCTTAAGCGATAAGTAGACAAACAAGGGTGACTGTGTTCCAATAAAACTTTATTTACAAAATCAGGTGGTTAAACACATTTGGTCCATGGGCCGGAGTTTGAGACCTTGGAATAGATGACCGTAAATTAAAAGGACACATGTAACTTATTAGTATTATTCTAATTCATAGAATGGTGGATATTCATCAGCTTTATATAGAAAAATCTTATAAATTTTAAAATGGGAGAAACATATTCCATTCAGTGTCCTAGAATCCTCATTTCCTGAATTTTCTGGCTCCTACTGAATACAGTGGGATAACTGACTCTGTTCCAGCCCAAATAGGGGGTTCTGGAAAAGATCAGATTCTGGAAAGAACTACTGCAGACGCCAAGGTGGCTGTGTTATTAGGGTGAGAGTTTGATTTCAGAACCCAGCTGGCCCCTTCAAAGGCTTTCAGAGTTACAAGACGTGATTAGACTTCCTCAGGCTCACCCTGGATTTTTTAAACCTTGAATAAATGATCAAGGTGAAATTCACCTCATGTGAGAGGATTCACCTGCCAAAGAGCTAGAGTATTTTCTTATCAGACTTAATCTTCTCCCTCATTTATGAGAGTTATGTTTGACTCCAGAAGGGAATAGCCTGGGTTTGAGAGTTCAAAGGAGGAGAATTTGCCATATACACAGACTTCTGCAGTTACCTCCCTGCTTAGGAATATTGTGAAAATTAAAGACTATATTGCCTTTTGTTCATTGGTACTTAATGAGATCAAACAGGTGTCTCCTGTTTGGATGTTTGTACCATGTTATGTATAGTCCGCCCCCACGTTATGAACATCCAACTTACATAAAACCCGTAGTTATGAACCAACCCTTTGTAAAGCCTATTATATGAAAAATTCGAGGTACATACAGTAGTTTATAATAATAAACACTCACTACTTTGCGACACACATCAAAACATTGTTATTATTACTGTATTTTTTATGTTAAAGATGTTTTAGTGTATCTGGAAGTGTTTCTTTAATGTTTTTTATGCATAGAAAGGTAGACTATATACTATACACTAAGACAACTGTTTTGACTCTCTGACGTTAGATACGAATGTACCTAACTGTTCCAACTACTACAAATTCTACTTAAAGACAGATTTAGGAATGGAACTAGTTTGTAATCCGGTGACTACCTATAACAACTATTAAAGTAATGGAAGAATTGTATTATGTGAAGGTATAAATGAATTTTTTATTCTCGTAAAATATTTAAGGAGCTTTATGTTGTATTTATCAGTTTTATACTTTGCTTACTACTTATATTGTTTACATTATTATTTCTATAATCCCAGGCAATTTAAGTATTATTAAGTGTTATTACTTAATTTTTACTTTCACTTTATTACAGAGAAAATAACTGGAATTTTTGGCTTAATTTTAGATAACAATGATGATTTCCTCACAATGGCAGAATGTCAATTCATTATCAAGCATGAACTTGAAAATCTTAGAGCCAGAGATGAAAAAATGATCCCTGGTTACCCCCAGGCAAAGTTGTATCCAGGAAAATCATTATGTAAGTCATTATATCAACCAGTTTCATGAATACATGTTTTAATGGAATTATTTTTTCTTAGAAGCCCTGGTGGTGCAATGGTTAAATGCTCGGCTATTAACTGAAAAATTGGCAGTTCGAGCCCACCTAGCAGCTCTGCGAGAGAAAGACCTGGTGGTCTGCTCCCATAAAGCTTAAAGTCTACAAAACCCTATGGGGACAGTTCTACTCTGGTCTTATGGGGTCACTGAATCAGAATCGATTTGATGGCACCTAGCGACAACAGAAATAAATAACAAATTATAGAGGCTTGATTTTTTTTCTCCTACTGAAAATGTTAACCATCTTTACAATAACCTGTTTTTTTGTGAACATATCTTTTGGTTTTTGAGCTTCAGTATACATTTAATACATTTAAGTCAATGTATTCTTTACGGTTCACTACTTCTTATTTCTGAAGGTTTCACAGCATACAATTAGCTAGGAAATATGTTGTCAAAAATGAACAATTTATATTGATATTTTGAATTCCAATCTAAATCATAGGATTTTACTTAATTTCTTTGGTTTTATATTATATCTCTGTTCACTTACATTGAAAATCTTGATTCTTAATAACATTAATGGAAACCCTGGTGGCGTAGTGGTTAGAAGTTTGGCTGCTAACGAAAAGGTTGGCAGTTTGAATCCACCAGGCACTCCTTGGAAACCCTATGGGGCAGTTCTACTCAGTCCTACAGGGTCGCTATGAGTTGGACTCAACGGCAACGAGTTTGTTTGTTTTTTTAATAACATTAACATAATTACTAATTTGCTTTTTCTTATGCTATACATAAAACAGCTTGAAAAACCATGCTAATTTTAATATCAATAATATAACTTCTGAATGAGGTTTAAGATTTCATTCTACTTTTTTTTTTTTCTATTATTATATATGATTCATGTCTTACCTGTTTTTTAAAGGTGTGGTAGAATTCACTTACGAAATCATCTGGCTCTGATATTTGTGGATTAAGTCTTTGAATAATTTTTTCTAAATCATTTATGGAAATTGGTTTGTTTAGACTTTCTATCTCTACTGAGGTCAGTTTGGGTAAACTTTATTTTTATAGACAATTATCCATTTTATCTAGATTTTCAAATGTGTGTGAATTGATTTGTGCAAATTTCTCTCAGGATCTTTTTAATTCGTTTGCTTTAATAGTTATTTTCCCCTTGTCATTATTTTATTTGCGCTTTCTCTCTTTTTTCGTATATAGCTAACTAGTGATTTGTCGATTTTGTTTACTTTTTTTCCCCTCAGCTGTTTAATTTACTTATTAGTTCTACTGTGCTTCTGTTTCCTAACTCATTAATTCTTGCTTTCATCTTTATGTACTTTGTTGTAATTTTTCTTTCTGAAATGGGTGTTTCATTCACCTTGTGTTCATTCTTTTATTCTTATTGTTAAATACTTAAGACTCTGTTTTTCTCTGACCATTGCTTTAGCTGTACCTCATAGATCTGATGTATAGAAATTCTGTACTTCATTTTGTATTTCCCTTTCTATTTGAGTTATTCAATAGTCAGTTTTAAAATTCCCAGGTAGAAGGGGCTTTTTTTTTAAAATTTTATTGTTAATTTCTAGTTTTGTTGCATTGTTTCAAAGAATGAAGTTCATATTGCTGCTTTTTAAAATTTATTGAGATTTTGTTTGTGGCCTAATATATGGCCATTTTTGTGTGTGTGTGAATGGTCCATATGTATTTAAAAAGAAGATGAATCCTTTAGTTTTAGGAAACAAACTTTGATATACTTATCTAGAAGATCTGCCTCTTTGATCATGTTGTGTAGGTCTTCTGTATCCCTTGTATGTGTTTTAATCCATGAGTCTCTATTCATACCGAACGAGGGGAGCCTCTTACTCTTAGCGTGTTTCTATTTCTCTTTGCTTCTCCTGTAGTTTCTGCTTAATGAAAGTTTCTGCTCTGTGATTTTTGTGTGTAGATATTCATAACTATTATTTTGTCAATATGTATTGTAGTCTTTTGGCATTATAAAATGTCCTCCTTTATCTCATTGAGTCTTGGCATGATTGCTACCTTGTCATGATCCTGGTCTTATTTTTGTTTGCATTTTCCTAATATACCTTTGCCCATCCATTAATATTTTGACTCTCTTAATCATATTGTTTTAGGTATATAGAAGACAACACAGAAGTAGGTTTTGTTTTATGAGTTGTCTAAAAATCTTTTAATAGGTCAGTTCAGCTCATTTGCATTCGTTGCTACAATCAAATCTATTTGGTCTCAGTTTTCTCGTTTTATTTAATGGTCTTTTTATTGTATAGATATACAGTCTTTCACTACGTCGTCTAGGTTTTTTTTTTCCTCTTAAAAATTCTTAGTATTTAGGAAGGTTTGTACTTTTGCTCTGATATTACTCTTATAGTAATAACTTTCTATACTCACTGTTAGTTCTCTATTAATCTTTCTACTCTTCTCTCCTTCTCCACCTAATTTTAGTCAGTTTTATTATCCTTAATTCATCTTTGGATTCTTAAGTACATTTTGGTTTCAGTTAGCTTACTTTACTTAGTCCCTTCTCTCACTCTTTGTACTCTCTCACTCTCTGTCCTCATTCTTTGTATGTGTGTATTTTCTACTTTGTCAGAACATTTGACATTACATACTGTTCTACTTTATTATTATCCTTTTTTAAATCTTTAATCTACTGTTGAATATATTCAGTATTGCTAAGGTGTTTCTAATCATCCCTTGTTTGGATAAAGCTCATCCTTTAGTTGATTTCTTAGAAAGGGCCCCTGGATGCAGTAGTCCCTGAGTTCTTTCATGTTCGTGTTTTGATATGTGAGGGGCAGTGTGACTGGATAAAAATCTTTGGCTCACATGTTCTTTCCTCTGGAGTCTTGCAGATGTTGTTCTTCTCTTTTCTTGAGTTAAATGTTGCCATTGAAGTCAGATGGTAGCATTGTTTTCTTTGTTTTTTAAGTGACTTGGTCTTTTAGCCTCAAAGCCCATGGAATTTTTTTTTTTTTTTGTATGTTTAAAGTCTAATAATTTTATGAGGGTATGTGTTAAAGATGATTTTTCTTGGTAAAAATGCATATTCAAGTCTTATTTTATTTTGTAATATTTTGAGGGAGATTATAGTTCTAAATGAAGTCCCTGGGTGGTGCAAACAATTAAGCACTTGACTACTAGCCAGAAGGTTGGCAGTTTAAACCCACCCATAGGCACCTCAGGAGACAGGCCTGGCAGTCTGCTTCTGAAAGGTAATAGCCTTGAAAACTCCACGGAGCAGTTCTATTCTGCACACATGGGGTTGCCCTGAGTCGGGATTGACTCAATGGCGACAAACAACGACAACTTAGTTTTAATTATTAGTTGTTTCATTGCTTTTTCTTCTTCAGGGACTCAATTTACATGGGTTGGATCTTCATTGCTCATTTTCTGTATCTATTTTTTTTTCCTTTGATCCTTTTTACCTCTGTATTTATTTCTGTCAAATTTTTTTTGGCTCTTCTCACTTCTAATCTTTCTCTATATTTTATCACAGCGTTCTGCCTTGGACACCTAGTAATTTAGGCTTTGTTTCTGAGAAGATTTTGTCTTTTTCTGTCAGAACTTTTCCTCAGTTCTGCCAGTTCCTATTTTATGTCTTCTGTTTGTTTGCCCTATTCTTTTCTTTTTCTTGAGATTATTTATTTGAAATTATTTAATTATTTTAAGTACATGTTGGAGTATAAGGTTGCGGTTTTCCCCCCCTTTGTGGTGGATTTTTCTGGTGGAGTCTCATCTGCTGGAAGTTTTTATTCTCATTTTTGGTTTTGTTTTTCTTTCTTTTCAAGTATCTTCATATGCATGTAGAGTTTTAATTTTCTCATTAATGTTTGAATGTTTAGGATATTCCAGTATCAACCATTAGCATGAGATCCTATGGAATATAAAGGAGAAGAGTTTAGATGGCTTTCTGGGTCAATGACAGGCTTCCTCTGCCATTACCATACTAAAGACATTTTTTAAAACCAAATGGTGCCTCTCTCCACCACTCCCTGACCCCCTGTGGGAGTTTTTGTTTGTTTGTTTGTTTTTAATACTATCATGCTTTATACTATTTTATCACTTTTTTTCCTCTTTTTCTTTACCGTGAGATGCTACCTCCAAGGACTCCATTACTTTCCAAGGTGTTTTTGTCTATGTTCCCCAGAAGCAGTGCTTTCATATGTCAGCCACTTCTTGTTTTGTGCACTTTCCACGCTCTTCCTTTCAACCTTTCATGTTGTCAGTGCTCTGACCCATCATGTCTCAAACCTGTTCTCACAGGTTCCCACTCAGGGGAATGGTGGTGAATTCTAGTTCATGTTATCTGGGTTTTCTGTACCACTAGGACTTCTCTAGGAGTCCTGGGTGGCACAAACAGTTAAGCACTTGACTGCTAACTAAAAGGTTGGTGGTTTGAACCTACCCAAAGGTGCCTTGGAGAAAGGCCTGGCAGTGTTTTTCCAAAAGGTCACAGCCTTGAAAACCCTATGGAGTGCAAGTCTACCCTGCAGCATGTGCAGTCACCATGAGTCGTAATTGACTTGATAGCAACTTTTTTTTTGGAGGGTAGTACAGCTTTTTTTCAGACCCCTCTGCCCTCCCTGTTCTTTTGTGCAGCTCCTGTTGGACTTCCTCCACCATTCTAGTCTGTAGTCCAGAGCTTTTTGTGTTCTTGGGTCTTTATTGCCTGAATTACATGTAAATGGGGTTTTGTAGTCTCCTCTGTCTCTGAGTTTTGCTGTAAGCATATGTTATAGATGTGTTTAGTTGCTTTCCTTGTTGATCTGCGTAGGTTTTAAGAAGTAGCAGGAAATTTGAATGTAGGTAGTTGTCATTGTTGTTTGTCCTCATTTCCACTCAACCTGCATATGTCTTGATGGCTGATTATTTTGTATCAGTTTTTTTGGTCGGACGTGTGTTCTTTCAGTGCATAGATTAAAGATTACCATTATTTCAGGAGAACTTTTCTTCAATTGC